TTTCGAACTCCTGAGCTTGAGTGATCCTCCCGCCTCAGCCTCCCAGAGTGCTAGGATTACAGGCGTGAGCCACCATGCCCGGCCCTTATTCAACAAATATTTATTAAGCTTCTGTGTATCTAGTGCTCTACTGGGTGCTTATGATAAACAATAATAAACAAGGAGAACAAAATATGCCCTCATTATCGTGGAGGAAATGCACTGCAAAAAAAAAAATGCCATGTAGACAAAGTGTGGTAAAGGATTGTAGAGGGGATGGGAAAGAAAGATAGGGAGAGGCAAGATTGAGCAGAAACCTAAGTGAAGGACAGAGTAAGCCATCTGAAGAGTCTTTCAGCTAGAGGGAGCAACAAGGGCCAAGACACACGGATGAGACTGAGCTTGGCATGTTCCAGGAGCATTGTTCTGCTCAGTGTAACTAGAGTAGAATGAGTTTGAGAAGGTGGTAAGTCATAGAGGGAGGCAAGGGGAAGAAGTCTGGATTGTATTAAGTGAGATGAGCCTCTCTTGTAGGGTTTTGATCAGGATAATGGCATAATCTGCTTTACGTCTTTCACGCCCACCCTGGGTGCTTGGAAAGAATAGAAGAATAGGCCGGGCGTGGTGGCTCATGCCTGTAATCCTAGCACTTTGGGAGGCCGAGGTGGGCGGATTGCTCAAGGTCAGGAGTTTGAAACCAGCCTGAGCGAGACCCCATCTCTACCAAAAATAGAAATAAATTAATTGACCAACTAAAAAATATATATACAAAAAATTAGCCGGGCATGGTGGCGCATGCCTGTAGTCCCAGCTACTCGGGAGGCTGAGGCAGGAGGATCGCTGAGCCCCGGAGATTGAGGCTGCTGTGAGCCAGGCTGACGCCACGGCACTCACTCTAGCCTGGGCAACAAAGTGAGACTCTGTCTCAAAAAAAAAAAAAAAAAAAGAATAGAAGAATAGGTGGAAATAGCAGGACCATTTAAGAGACTAATGGAGTTGTCTAAGTGAGAAATAATAACTTGAATAGGGTGGTGGTGATAGAAATGGTCTGATTTAGGATGTGCTTTGAAGGTAGAACTGATGGGACTTGCTGATGGTTTGGTTATAGAATAAAAGCGAAAGAGTCAAGGATAAATAACATGTTTAAGTATGAGATGATGAAGAGCAGAGCAGTTTTAGAGGCTAGAAGTGGGGGCTGTGTTTTGGCTACGTAAATTTGGCATTATTTGAGATGTTTTGTAGGCAGGATGTGAGTTTGAATCTCAAAGTTTGAAGTGGTCAGAACACAGATTGTGTTCAAAGCTATGATGAGATTCTGTAAGTGAGTATAAATAAGAGAAAACAGATTGAAGCCTGAACCCTGGAGCACTTTAACATTTAAAGGTCAAGAAGAGGAAGATCCAGTGTAAGAGTCAGAGGAGCAGCCTTTATGGTAGGAGAAAAACCAGGGGAGAGTGGTGTTCCAGAAGCCAAATGAAAAAAGCATTTCAAGGATGAAATGATCAGTTGAGAACTGACCATTTGCAACCTCAGTAAGCTGTTTTACTTTTAAGTCAGCTGTTCATTTGTCATTCGTTTCTTTTCCTTATACTGATAGGTTGGTCTGCTTTATCTGAAATCTCTCTCCCCCATTTTTCTTAGATTCTATTTTTTTTTCTTATTTCTTTTATTGTTGGAGTATGTCCTCAGTTTTTTCTGCAGGAGTCAATGGACAGGAAATTTTCTGAGTCTTGCTTATTTGACAGTGTCCTAAAACTCTGGAGATGGACTCAGGAATCTGCATATATGACAAGCTCTTTAGGGCAGTTTTATGCAGGTTTAAGAACCATTCCTTTATTAGAGTATTTTTCTCAGTTCATCCTGGAGGCAGAATGAAGCTATGCTACTTCTGTTAATTGCGCAATAATTTTCCACATGGATTTTTCATTCACACACTTTGACTTTTTTTTTAAATTTCAGCATATTATAGAGGTACAGATGTTTAGGTTACATATATTGCCTTTGTCCCACCCAAGTCAAAGCTTCAAGCCTGTCCATCCACCAGATGGTGTGTACTGTACCCATTAGGGCACACCTTTATTTTGATACCTTTATTCAATAAAATACTACTCAAGCAGTGGTAAAAATGTAAGATTTTGGCTCTTTCATCTTTGTTTTATCTTAATGATGTTGTCACATCCATCTTTCAACTTTCTTAAATTCATGACAATTCTTAGTCCACTAATGTGCTACTTGCTCATTCTCAGCACTTCCATGAATATGTTCTTTTTTATACCTCTTTACTGCCATTTCTTTTTTTTTTGAGACAGTCTTGCTCTTGTCTGTCACCTGGGCTAGAGTGCAGTGTCATCATCATAGCTCACTGCAACCTCAAACTCCTGGGCTCAGGCTGTCCTCCTACCTTAGCCTCCCAAGTAGCTGGGACTACAGGCACACACCACGATGTCCAGCTAATTTTTCTGTTTTTAGTAGAGATGGGAGTCTTGCTCTTACTCAGGCTGGTCTCGAACTCTGGAGCTCAAGCAATCCTCCTGTCTTGGCCTCCCAGAGTGCTAGGATTACAGGTGTGAGTCCCGGTGCCTGGCCTACTGCTATTTCTTATGCATATACTTTTTAAATTGGAAGGAGGGAAGAGCAAAAACCTGGGCTCAGGTTTCCTTCTTTAGGAACCATTTTAATCTCTACTCATTAATTGTTTTTAAAACAAGTTAATATTTTTTAATGTTTTATTTGAAAATAATTTCAGTTTATAGAAATGTTGTAAGAGTAATGCAAAGAACTCCCCTGTATCTTTCACCTAGATTCACTAGTTAACATTTTGCCATATTTGTACTTTCCTCATATAGATACACGTACACCTGTTTTTATTATTTTCTGACTCATTTGGGAAAAAGTTGCAGATATCTTGTGTCCCTTTTCTCCTATTCTGTTACATAACTACAGAATATCATCAAATTTTTGAAATTCAATGCATAGGAATACTATTTGTATATTTACAGTCCATATTCAAATTGTACAAATTGCCCCAATAATATCCTTTACACAGTCTTTTTTTCTGATCAAAGATCCAGTCCAGGATCATGCATTGCATTAACTTGTTATATCTCTGTAGTTTCCTTAATCTGAAATAGTTCCTCATTCAGCCTTTTGTCTTTAATGGCACTGATGTTTTTGACGAGTACAGGCCAGTTGTTTTATAATATGTCCTTCAATTTGGGTTTTTCTGTTGTTTGCTTATGATTAGTTATGTTTTTGGCAGAATACCACAGAAATGATCTTGTGTCCTTCTCAGTGTATCACATAAGGAAGTAGATAATGTCACTTTGTCCTATTATTGATGATATTAACTGTCATTACTTGGTTAAGATGGTGTCCAGCAGGTTTCTTTAGCATTTCCTCTTTTGGAATTTATAAGTAATCTGTAAAAACACTTTGAGACTATGAGCGCATTCTTTTCTACTTCAAACTTTCACCTAATAGTTTTAGTATTTAGAAACATTCTTGCCTGAATTATTACTATGATAGTTGCTAAATTATTTTCTAATTCTTATTCCTTCTACATTTATTAGTTGACACTAATTCCACTGTTAGAGCTTTTCCTTCTAATTTGTTATCAGTGTAGACTCACAGTTTTATTTTTATTCAATGAGTTATAATCAATTTACTGTGCTTATTTATTTTGATGTTCAAATTACCCCAGATTTGGCTAGTGGGAGCCCCTTCAGGTTGTCTCCTGTGTCTTTTTGGTGAATCCTCATCATTTTTTAGCATTTCCTACTTTCTGGCATGAGGCTATGTTCCAGGCTTATCTTGGCCAAACTCTGTCATCCGCCATTTTTCCAAGGAGCCCTGTTTCCTTTTAGTAGGCATTGATATTTAAAAACCAAGATCTGGATGACAAGTTGATTCTTGAGTGCTTCCTGTGCTACTTGGCTTGTCATGTATGTTCACCACATTTATTTTTAACCTTTTGTAGTGGGTAGAGAGAGCCCCAAAGATCACAGTACACAAATTCTGTTACCTTTAGTGGTTCACTGTTGGAAAGGCCTTTATTCTCCATCTTCTGTGTTCTTCTATTTTGAGAAGGGGATTTATAGACCCTGGGCATTAAGAAAGCAGTTAACTGTGTTTGTATTATATGTTATGTATGCATATGTAAAGTTGAATGTTGATAGGAATCCATATCCCTGGAGAGGCATATAGTTTTTTTATTTTTCTCAGAAGAATATCAAAATGATATCTACTTTTATATATTTATGTTTTTCACTAATGTTTCCTCTATAATAATATAGGTTTTGTTAGATTTGGCCTTATTTTTCAGGTCAAACTTGATTTCAGGTAGAATTTTAAACTTAAAAATCTATAGTGTATCTATTAGCATGAAAGCAAAATATGGTCTGTTAGTAAATTGGAAAAATTGTCTGGAAATTCTTGCCATTTCAACAGTTTAGTTGGGCCAAAACTTTTATACATATGCACACACACATATATAAACTTGAGGAGAATTTGGTTAAGGAAACAGAAATGGCAAGCAAAACTAGGCAAGGTGAAGAGATGGGAAGAAGTAGGATATGTTCTAACAGTGAGTTAGAGTATTTACATAGGGAAGAATACAAAAGTAAAAGGAAAGGTTGGAGCCTGGTGGCAGAAACCTTGAATGACAGGCTAAAAAATTTCAGGCTATTCTCTTGCAAACAGAACCTCTTACAAGTAGGCAATTCATAATAAAACAAATGTGGGTAAAACAATGTCCTTTCATGATTGTTGGGAAAGGGGACACAGCATTGCCCAGCTCTAGAGACTGGTCTGTTCCTCTCAAGGAACAAATAATTTGAATCGTGAATTCCTGTTTCCAAAGGAATGTCTTGTAATTATGTATAGCAATTCAGAATGCTTGCCAACTGTTTTATTTTCTCAGATCTAGCCATTTAATATTTACTACTTGTTTACAACTGTACTCTGAACTTTATTTTAAGAGAATGTGCCCAATAAAAATGGAGTTTATTTCGTTTTCTGTCTAGGCAATGAAGCATATATGTGTTTTTATTTTGGAGGAAGTGAAACAAATGAACTGGCATTTATTGAGGGCTGTGTATGTCAGGTGGTATGTAAGTAGCTTTATATATGCTATCTATTCAGTATTCACTTTAGCCCTTACAAAAAAATGTAGTGGTCATCCTCTTTGTAGACAAGGAAATAGAGGCTTTAAAGCAGGTGTCCTCAAACTACGGTCCGTGGGCCACATGCGGGTGTTTTTGCTCATTTGTTTTTTACTTCAAAATAAGATATGTGCAGTGTGCATAGGAATTTGTTCATAGTTTTTTTAAAACTATAGTCCGGCTCTCCAACGGTCTGAGGGACAGTGAACTGGCCCCCTGTTTAAAAAGTTTAAGGAACCCTGCTTTAAAGGATCAAGTCCAAGGCATATAGCTAGTAATAGTTAAAGGGGGATCAAAACATGGGTGTGATGATTGCCAACGATTCATAGCATTGTTCTTTGAAGCTCTCAGAAGTCTACAATAAAGGTTTTCTGTCCTCTTCATATACAAAAGCTTAAGGCCAGCAGGTAATAAAAGATGGTGTGGATGGAGAGTAGTTGCAAGTGATATTTGCTAGCATGCAAAAATAAGAACAGAAAGTGGGCCAAGAAGAGGATTCCTTATAGCCAGGCAGAAATGTCTGTTAGAATCTGTAGGAAGGGATCACATCATCATAGAACTTGAGTGAATGTGAGCCTAAGGGAAGCTTAGTAGCAGTGATTTTATCAGAAGTGAGTCATCTGACAGCTCTAATCAGAATCACCCCCTTTATTATAGCTGAGGTCATCCATGTGCTTTCTCTGATGTGCCTGTTTCAAGAAGAGATTGATTCCAGACAATTGAAACATACCTGAAGATTCTGGCTTGGACATTATAAATGACCTGACAAGAAAGTGAGCTTCAGCTTTTCCAACTCAGTGGTGTTGGTAATGTTAGAAGTATTTGCCAATCTGTGTTCTCCTTCTATAGCAGCACTTCCCAAACTTCCACCGGCCAACCCTAGAGTGGGAGGATTTGAAAACGTGCCCCCAGGAGTCTTGAGGCATCACCTGAAGTGAAAAGGGAGTAATTTTTTTTTTAAGTCTTATGTTTTATATTTAGGGAAAGCTTTTGTTCATTTCCATATCTATTCATTTGAATGAAAAGTAAATTATTTTACTGATTGTCTCCTTACACCCTGTACTTCCCACCCTACCCCATAAATCTTCAAGTACTATTGACAGTCTGGGAAGAAGGCACTTGTTTGACTGGGACTTAACAGGCTTCTACCCATTGGCCCAGAGCAGGTACCCCAGCGTGAGAAGTACTGTCTTCCAGGGTTTGAGCTACCGCACAAGCATCCGCTGAGGCGTTACAGATAACACAAGGGGCAACCACATTTTTGTTGACTTTCCTACACCTTGTGACTCCCTCACTTTTCTCATTCCTTCTCTCCTCTCAGGTATGGATTCCTTATTTATCAAACTACCATCCTTTCTTTCTTTCACTTGCATGGCATGACTTTTTAAGGGCTTAGTCTCTTGATATGTCCCAGCAGTTTTATTTTTGGAATTTCTTTTTTTGTCTTACCAGGGGAATAGAACCAAATATATCTATCTGATTCTAAGAGGTACATATTTTTTCCTTATGGCCCTACTTAATGTTTCATTTAAGGCACAATTGCTGTACATACGGCATTACAAACAGCAGGTTTAGTGTGGGTGTTGGTTGTTGCAGGTCTCTTCTGGGGCCAGGGGATGGAATGTTGGTGGCAAATTGTCGTTTCTGTTTCTTATCAAAGGAAACAAGCTCAGGCCAGCATATGAGAAAGGTAACTTTGAGTTGTGAGTGAGTGCCCACTTATGTATTGTATTTTTTAGTTATTCCCAGTCAGTTTCCAATTTTTGTTACAATCTTGACAAGAGTTTAGTGCTTTTTTAGTATTTAACAGCAGAGTGAGGGTTTCCTTTGTAAAGTATTTTTATACCTAAATCTTATATGAAAAAGGGTTGTTGCTGATTTACTGATACCAAATACTAGGTTCTTGTTAAGCCTTCAAGCCGTTGTTTGGGACATCCTTTGTGTCCAACTTGCTTTCTCTTCCTGAAAGCCCATTGTTGACTTTCAGCTGATCTAATCCTGCTTGATTCCCTCGGCAAAACCATCTTTTGTACCCAGTGCAGTTGTAGTCCCCATCTTTTGAGTCATGTCCACTACAGAAATAGCTTTTTACATAGTCTTGTGTGTTTGAAATTTTTTTTAAACTAACATGTCATGGTATGTATCTTCCTAACAATTTCATGAGAGAGGCAGCATGGGTATTGCTATTACCTATTTCATAAATGACCAGATCTCTGCCTCAGTACCATAGGTGTGTTTAGAAACATTTTCTGGAAGTCTTCCAGTTTTCCCCAATGTGAGAAAAATTTATTACGCAGTTTTGAATTATCTACAAAGAAGAAGATAGCTCGAAAATATTTTAAGATCAATTTTTTAAAAATTATCCTAAATTCAAGGAAGAAACAGTGGGTTTTCTAAATTTCCAAAAAGGACTGGTCCCTGTTTTAGACAGGTTAGAGATGTTTCCTTCTTGAGAACCAAGCTCACTGAATCAAAGAAGAGATAATGAATAGTTAAGTTTTTATTTTTCTCCTTATTTCTAGGGATAGTAGTTTACCCCTTTGAAATATTTTGAGTAGAAGGGGTCACACCTTGTGGTTCCTAATAGGAATTTTTATGTCTATGAAGTTGCTCAAAAGTAGTAATGGACGTCCTTTTTAGCTATTATGAGAGTTTTTAAAAACCTATAGAAATGGTACATTTCCGTGAAGTAAGGCTGTGGTACTTAAAATGTCACACTTCTTTTGGGTGGAATTTAATGAGCCTGATTAGAAGCTCTTGTTGGCAGCAAATGGGCATGACCAGTTAATTATTTTTGAAAATTGCCATGTGTTTGTAGACAAGGAGTCCATGAGGAGAGAAAATAATCAAGGGAATGGTTGGAATCTGAGAACTGTGCTGCAGTGATGAGAAATGTCCACGAGGTGGCACCAAGAATTTGCTTAAGTGTGGGATCCCCAGCTAGGGCCTGGAACACTTACAGCCCATTTCAACCTCCCCCCCTTGTGAACTGTGGCCCAGCTGCAGCTGTGCCCTCAGTTCTGGTCCCCAACTTCCACTGAACCCCTCTAGTGCTGCTATTTGTGTGCTATATTGGCATCTAACCACATTCTGCCTGCAGCGAAAGCTGTGGGTATTGGCTCCCCCTCCAGATGATAAGTTTCTTGAAAGTAGGCACCAGCTACATTTACTTTAAAACTTATTCCTTCCTGTGCTTCCAGCAGTGCCAGGCACAGGACCTCTGAGTTGCATTGTTGAATTAACATCTCTTGGTGATCTGTGGGCTAATTGTGGACCTCCATAGGGCTCACTCTCAATATATTTTTTTGCTTTGAAGTGTATGTTTATTTTCCCGGGTGCATGAATGATTTTGGGGGGTAAGAGTGGGGATTTTGTCTTGTTGATTGTGTAGTTTCATAGACTACACCACACCCTGACCAACCAACTTCAAAGACAATTGGTTATAGAAATCATTCCTGTGTTTGGGTCTTCCCTGCAGTCCTGCAGTTGGTCTTGGCAGTGGGACCTCCACGTGTGACAGACAGCAGATGGCTGTGGAGTTCCCATGCTGTGTGCCATGTAGGTAGGAGCTTGGGAAAAGCAGAAAAGAATCCTCCTTTGTAGCTCTCATCCCTCTGTCTTATTTAGGGGCCTCAACAAGGAATCCTGCCACAGGCATAGCAGTCTGATTAGGAAAGAAAACCTACTCTACCAGGGAAGGCCCTGGGAAGGACAGTAATACCATGAACATATTTTAGGTGGATTATGTCATTTTATTGGGGACCATTAAGTAAATGGATGTTCAGTTTTTCAGAAAACAGATAAGACTTTTAAGCCAATTGGAAGAAAATCTGAAAAGGTTTCATAATAATGTTATTTCATGAATACAGCCAAACCACCCAGGCAACTGCATTATATTTTCTAGGCCTGACCCTGGCTCTGGTCTCTTTATTGTGTGAATACTTTTCCAAAGTGTGATTTGACAACATAGTCAAAAGTTCTGTGTTTGATAGCAAGCCCGAGTATATAAAACTCTGAGCAAACATCATTTACATTTACTCAATTTAATTAAAAAAATGAGCCACAATCTAGGCAATGTAATGTTAATGTGGTGTCTGGCTGCTTCTCTAAAGGCTATTTGTTTAGTTCCTTCAGTGAATTTGATAAACTAAGGCCATATTTTTATTTCTAGAGCTGGGAGTACCCAAGTGAGCACTTTTGACCTTTGAATGTTTAGAGCACCAGAAGTTCTGATTATGAGATGAAGAGAAAATGACAGCTTTTCTTGTCCATTAAAAAACCAAGACTCACTCATGGCATTCCTTTGTCCTACAAACAGAGCAGAAACTGTGACCTCTGCTCTTTGGGGTGGCATTATTTTAAAGAAGCAACCAGAATTAACCTGTTAGATACTCATCTGGTCTGTGAATCTGTATTTTGGTTTATTGTCTTTGGCAATTGAATTTAAATTCATTGGGATGGGGTAGGGTGGCTTATAAGTGAATTTTCAGAAATGCATAAGTCTTTTTAGGAAAAATTTGGGAATTTGCTGACACAAATCGGCATTACTAATATGACTGTTTCGTTTTTAGGTGATTGGTGATGACAATGTGGCAGTCCCCTCACACCTTTATAAGGTGATCCTGGCCCGCAGAAGCCCAGTATCTACTGAACCTCTGGCACTAGGGGCCTTTGTGGTACCCAATGAAGCTATTGGCTTCCAACCTCAGTTAACTGAATTCCAAGTGAGCCTCCAGGACCTGGAGAAGTTGTCAGGACTGGTGTTTTTTCCTCATTTGGATAGAACTAGTGATATCAGAAATATCTGCTCTGTGGACACCTGTAAGCTCCTGGATTTCCAGGAGTTCACTCTGTACCTGAGCACAAGAAAGATTGAAGGAGCCCGATCTGTGCTCAGACTAGAAAAAGTCATGGAAAATTTGAAGAATGCAGGGGTTGAACCAGATGATTACTTCATGAGTCGCTATGAGAAGAAACTAGAAGAACTCAAAGCTAAGGAACAGTCAGGAACCCAGATGAAAAAGCCATCTTAGTTTTTATCTCAGAAGATGTGTGGTATTATCTGTAATGAAGCAGGCATGCCCTCTTCAGGCTAATATATTTTAGTGGTGTTGCTTAGAAGAAATGATGGAATTTTAAATTTACTATTAAAAATTCCCCCAAAAGATGAAAGATTACAATTTCTTAATATTTTATGAGATTTGGGAATTTATTATTATGAAAGCTGTTATACCTGCAGGAGGGCTAATCTGTGAAATTAACCGGAGGACTGTGTCCATAGATGGCACTGCATTTGCATCTTTCTGGATATAAAGTTTGTGAAGGCATTGTTTACTTTCATGCCTTCAAATCATGCATTGTCTTTAATGTATCTGCTCAGCCTTCTTGGAACACAATATTGTATGTTTTTTTTTCCTCTTGTGACCTGAGTTGGTCTTGGAGATGCCTTTTAGAAATCCTCTATATGTTAGCCTGTCCACTTGTACTGATATTTATTTTTTAATTTTTTGAGTCTTGCTCTGTCACCGGGCTAGAGTAGAGTGGCGTCGTCGTAGTTCATTGCAGCCTCAAACTTCTGAGCTCAAGCGATTGTCCTGCCTCAGCCTCCTGGGTAGCTGGGACTACAGACATGTGCCACCATGCCTGGCTAATTTTTTTATGTTTTGTAGAGATGGGGTCTCACTTTTGCTCAGGCTGGTCTCCAACTCCTGAGCTCAAGTGATCCTCCTGCCTTGGCCTCCCAGAGTGCTAGGATTATAGGCATGAGTTACCACACCTGGCTGGTATTTCTTTCTTGTCTCTCCTCTCATGAACCTGCGATCCTTCCACTTCTGTCTTATGGAATCACTCAACAATTATAGTTTCTGTTCACTTAGTGTGTTCTATCTACTAGGCTCAGTGTATTTTCTCACAGTTACCCTTTGGGGTAAATATCAGTTATACCCATTTGGCCTGTGAGGAAACTGAGGCTTAGAGAGCTTAGTATCTTGCCAAGGTCCACCTTTCCAAAGAAGTCTGAGATATACAGGTATGGGGCATATAGGACTAAGAGAAGAAAGACAGCTGAGGTAGACTCAAATTTTCCCTGACATGGACTGAGGCTTTTGACTCAGAAGTACATACCTCTTTCCATGGGTGTCTGTGAGCCTTAGGCCTGCTTGATGAGAAGCAGGTTTCTTGTCTCTTACGCAAGCTGAAGGGACTTTAATGTCCTTTGACTTGAACTCTCCTTAGCTCTTTAGAAAGAGAGGGAACAGATATTTGGGACTTAGGATGATGCTTTGTGGGGTTTATCAGCCCCTGCTTGCCTCCAGGAATATGGTTCTTTTAGTAACCAAATAGCACCAAATCTGTGTGTTCCTTGCTTTCCAGATGAGCTTTTGTTCAAATTAACCTAAGAAGGGTCTGTGTACATAGTCACCAGTTTATGATTTGCTTGCCTCTGTGCCTGCTGGTCCACCTGGGTAGCATAGGGCAGAGGGTGCTTTGGGCCAAAGGTGCAAAGGCAGTTATCTCTGGGGGAAATGGTGGCTGTTTCTCTGAGCCAAATCTCTGTAGATGTGGCACACGGGAGTCCTTTTATAGACTCTCATAAGTATAGGCAGTAAAATGCTTTGGGGGCATAAGAACTTATCTAAATCTGTCGTATTACTGCTGTCTTTCCAAGTGGTATTGCAAGAGCAATTTTTGTGGTGTTTTTGTGTTTGTCTCTAAAAAATGCCAAGGCTTTAAGGTAGAGATAAGATGATAATGATTGACCTTGTTCTGTTCCTTTATTTGGGTAAAAAAGAAAAGTTGAGAGGTCAGAACACAGTAGCCTGATTAATACCGTTCTGTTTTATCACACTGTTCCCCATTAGCTTGTGCCAGTCCTCCTTCTTTCTCAAGCATATAGAGCCAAAATGTCACTGTGACCAAACAATCTGTTATTTTCTGTCCTCATAGGAGAGGTGATGGTGGGACCTGGGTGTTTCTTCAGGAGCCTGAGGGGCAGCTGTGTGGGATAAGTCCTAGGTGCTTACTGCCCATATCCAGAGGCAAGCTTGTGACTCCCTTCCCTGTCACTATGCTCTGCTGACCCGAATTGCCAGCAGCCTTGGAGTTATTTCTTGTGCTCTTCTCAATCCTGCCTCTCCACTTAGAAGGTAGAGAATCTTGATTTTTAGATCAATAAGTTAAAGTGTCTTAGGTTTTTATTTCCTGTGAAAGATGCTACCTGGTTGTTGTGAAAAATAGATTTGAGAGTTTGTAATACAAAATTGTGGTCTGTCTGTCCTGTTTTTTTATATGTAAAAATTTTGTTGGTATATAGCAGTGATGCTTGAATTGTTATCTCAACACTTTCTTAAAAGAGTACCCGAAATAAACTTGAAATGTAAATATTGATTAGAGCTTAGAATTTTCTTCTGGGTCAGATCATTTCGGACCCATCAGTGTGGCTGTTGATTATTCTGGATTCTGGTGCAGCAGATTCCTACACCCCCCCCCCCCCACCCCCCGGTATCAGATGTGTCCCTTTAGACACAGATCAGAGAAATGTCTGAGTGGATCACCATCCAGTCAGTACTTACCTGGGTCCAGGGGAGATCCTCTGCTTTCTGTCACTTTTACTGTCAGAGAGTCCTGCTCTGAGGGAAGGGCTGCTCTGGAGGAACTGCCAGTCTGGTGGGCCTTGCTGCTGGAAGCCCCCATCAGTGGGCGAGGGTGCTTCCTCATCTTTCTCTACTCCCAGTGACATCCTTATTGTGAAACTCCAAATTCTTTGGTCTCTGGATTGAAGCTGTTTCACCAATGATGTATGCAGCAGAGGTGGACCTTATACAGTAAGCTGCAAAGGTTAGGAGAATGGGTATTGACCCCTAAGCACCTGCTAGCATTTCTGCCCTCACACTTTGACCTTAAACACCTGAAAACTTTTGGCCCACCTTTAGGCCTTTGATTAGAGCTGTGGGCTGAGCCTTATACTTGGAATGACCCTGAATGTTGCCATGTCACCTGTGTCTCCTGGCCTCATCCTTGTAAGTACCTAAGTGTCATTGACATCAACTCTGTGACTTGCAAACTTCCTATTAGCAGTCCATCCCTGAACATATCTCTGCACCCAGGGTCTGCTGTTCGGTTCCCTGTTTGCCCCTTCATGCTTTTGCCGTGTGTCCCCTTCCTCCTGGGCCTTCCTGGAACACCCATGTGCCTCCTGGATCCTCATTGTGGTTCATTCTGGTGGCGCTGGTCAGGGCTGACTGCACGTCAGGCATGGAACTCCTGCTCCTGCCTGCCTCCATGCTCAGACTCTCAATCTGGCCTGTTTTTGCAGGATGTCATCATTCTTGTAGATTGTCTATCAGGAATCCAGTGTTCCTTTATCTAGACCAGCCCCACCTTCAGGGACCAACCTGCAGGTCATCAGAGAGGTCCAAGCAAGAGGAGCTGGATTTTGACACAGGCCCCATAGAATTCAAGGCAGTGGCTATGTGGATGGTCTTCTCTTTCATGCTCTTGGACATGCCATTGTGGCCAAGGGGCTGGTGTGCCCCCGAGTGCACAGAGCACCTCTAGGGGTCACTCTGGCCTAATGTCGCACTGCAAGATTCAGTATCAGCTGTGACACTGTCCCAGCACAGAACTTCCAGCTCCGTAAGCCACAAAGAACGCAATCAGCCTCACGTCAGGCTCCAGCCTCTCAAACTAGATAGAATAGCAAGAGTTTATCTTGTTCAATGGGCCTCATGTTTATCTCACATCACAATAACCTAGCTGCTTAAACTTTATTTTGAGATATTTCAAGCTTACAGAAAAGTCAAAAGAGTACAATGATTGCCCCTCTCCCAATGTTTTGTCTCATTATTTTCTCTTTTTTTTCTTGAACCATTTAAAAGTAATTAGTTTTTTTTTAAAAAAATAAATTGTAGACATGACACTTTTTAATACTTCAGCTTGTATTATCTAAGAATAATGACATTCCCCTATATTTCTAAAATATATCTAAGAAAATTACAAAGAATTCAATTATCTAATAAACAGTTTCTATTAAAATTTGCCAAGGTGTTCCCACATGTCTTTTATGCTTTAAAAAAAATCCAGGTTTCCATTGCAAGGTTTATAGTGTTACATCTAGTTCTTAATCTAGAACAGTCTGCCTGGTGAGGCCAAAAAAATCTAGATTCTCCAACCACATTCTTGAGATTTTGATTCAGGAGGTCTGCTGTGAGGATGGAATCTATTTTTTAAATAAGCAACACTAGTGATTCTGATGATCAACCAGGTTTGTAACCAGACTGTTCTCTCCTCTGCCTCCTCCCTCTTCCAACATATACATACCTTAGACAGGAGTCCTCTGTCAGATAGACCTTTGAGCTTCTGAATATCTCTAAGGGAGAACTTTCTCCTATGCCTTTGGGCCCCCAGGGAGACTCAGTTTTCTTTATAGCAGAGCTTCATAAAGTTAAGCTGCAACCTTCCCTTTTACTCCTGTCCATCAGTGACAGGCCCAAACTGCCATTCGAGGCCACACAGAACTAACTGGCTGGCATCTACTTTTCACCTGATAGTCCTTTCAAGATAGGAAGCTCATTAAAGACACTGTGGCATCTCATTTCATGCTCAGGTGCATATTAATCTAGGACGCTTCCTCATCGTGGTTTTCTGTGCTCACATCTGG